CGTTTTATTGCATTTATTCAATAATTTTATAATACAATTAGAACATGATAATTTTATAATCATTTATTTATACTATCAGTTCTATAAATGTATTCATATAATATTATGTATGATTAAATAATGTGAATGATAAAGATTTATTTAATATCTTCTCCTTATTTTCTTTTACCATTTCCTATTCACCTTTTTTTCCTTCTGTTTTTTTTTGTTTTTTATTTGTAATTTGTAAGTGAAAATTAAATGTTATGATCACATCATATTTTAATGAAGGAGGAAACTATTTACAACAAAGACAAAATACAAAAATAAAAAATATAATAATAAAAAATAACATTAATGAAAAAGATTAAATATTATTCATATAAACAATAACCTTTGAGCAGTGAGACACACAGTTCACGCAAGATATATCCATATTGTTTATAAAATTCAATGTCAATCAATTATTATGCATGTATGTATTCCTATTTATAATACAAAGTTTATAAAATACATAATTTACTGTGTATGAATTTTTCGCTATTTAACTCTTGACACTTATGGTTCCATTCAAATGTATTGTAGTCGTTGTCTAGCCATGCGCGATGTAAAATTTCAATGATTATATTATACATAAGTAGATGGTAAGACATTATGACACAAATATATAAATCGTGAAAAAAAAATATATTATACATTTATACACTTTATCACCGTTGTTTTCAGCGTAAAATACGATTCTAAAAATTATGCCGCAAGCGAATTTGAGATATCTTGAAAATTGACAAAATACATTTTTTGTTTATTGCTAATACATTGTAACTTTTGAATGAATATATTGTAACTTTTCAACTACGAACGACGGGAAAGTCACTACAAATAACTAGAAACGATTCTAAATCAAGATATATTATTGATTTTTCTGTAACTCAAAGTCGGGTGATAGTCATTTTTTCAAAATTCTTTTTATAAATTTACAAACGAAATTATACTACTACTACAAATAACTAAAAACAAAATACTAACCTTTTTTTATTATAAACTTATTTTAGTAAAAGTTGGGTGCCAAGTTCATGTAGATAAATTAGCGCATACGAGTACGGATGGTGTGTGTACAGAGGCGTTTATAATTATTTCTCGAAAATGATACTTCGGAAAATAACTTTATCACACATGGTTGAATTTGTCTTAAAATACCCTTTAATCTGGTAAAAAAAAATTTTTGAAAAATTAAAAAAAAAGT